ACACACATACACACACACACACTGTGGATAACTTCTATCAAAACGGCAGTCATTTTACTGGCTCGTCGTAGAATAAGCCTCTATACGAACCATTTCCATAGAGAGACTATTTTGAGCCGAAATTCGTTCATGTACATAAAATGCTGATTTACGCCATCCCTTTTGATGTTTATGTCACATCAACAACAACATATTCCTTTATTACAAAAATCACAAACAAACAAACTCATAGGGGGTTTGTGAGAGGAATATGCATTCGAGGGCGCCGATCCATCGTGCGAAAGAGATGTTCAATCACGGGCGTTTATGGATGGCGTGGATCATGATAACTGAAATCCAAAAAAGTATTTTTTATCTGCAAGAAGCACAGTCACAAGGAAATCCCCCTACCCAATTTCGGGAACTATTTCGGGCTCCTTTGGTTCCTTTGACTTTTTCCCTAGGCTAAAATTTAAAAAAAGTTTTTTTCTTGAAGAAAGCAGCCACAAAGAAATCATACCTGCCATATGCCACCCCTGATAACGCAGGGATTTTCATTTCTTTTTCGGGTTCCTTTGGTTCCTTTGATATTTTCCCTAGTCTAAAATTTAAAAAAAGTTTTTTTCTTGAAGAAAGCAGCCACAGAGAAATCCTACCTGCCATATGCCACCCCTGATAACGCAATTTCTTCCAGAGGACCATCTAAACAACTAGGAGTGCAGTCGTGGTACATGCCATGTGTGCCTTCTGAAGACCGTAACAGCTAGCTTAAGCAACCTACCAGGAGGGTTCCTCCTGAATCGTGGAGCCGAGCGCCAGATCGCACACTCGCTTGCCAAAATCCAAACCGAAAGCAGCAGTACGAAGAAAATCTTCATTCTTGCGGAATGGTACTCACTCATCTTTTCGTTTAAATAGTCAGAAATGGTGATAAGATCACAAAACAAGCTGCCCGATGTGTTTTTTCGTGTAATCCCGTGTTTTGGCCTTCTTGCGACTAGATAGCGTCAGACACGATAAGGTGGTTTTATCAAAGTTACGTGGAACGCGATCAGATTCTTCCAGATAAGATCTATGCCGTTTCCCCGACCCTTTGTCAATAAAAAAATCAGTGATGACAACAGACCGAAGGCTTTGCCATACTGCACGGGCTTCACCCTTACCAAAAAGCTCACTCCACTTTCATTTGAAACAAATGAAAGCTATAGAATGGCGCTCACTCCTGGCAGCAAATGAGGCAAGAATGGCAGAATGGTTTAAGGCAGCGATTACAAGAGATTCTAGAAGGGTTCAGAGGAGACGAGGTGGTGGCGAAAAAAAGCAGAGAAATCCGTCAAGAAAACCCAAAATGGAACCCCTTTTTGGCCGTTGGCCTCCACTCATGAAGAGGTAACAGCTCAGAAATCACCGCAAGGCGTTTCATGGCACCGTGCCAAGCCAGGCTCCAATCATGTTGCTACAGTTGTGCGCTGCTGGCAACGCTACTCGTCCAAATCACCAACAGACAAGTGGGCAGATCGCTTTGGGGAGGAGCGCTTTCAAGTGCTGCTCAACAATCAGCACAGTGAAAGCGCCACACTTGGCTTCCTTGAAGCCAAGTAACGGCTTCCTGTGGAACATATATTGCCCCGATGCTCTCCCCCTTTTTATCGTACCCGCTTCCTTCGAGGCGTCATTCGGAAAAAGCACGTAAAGCTCTCTCCCAACCAGGGTCAAGCGTGCGTTGAGGAATCCTCGACACGTCGCAGGGGGGGGGGTCGTATTGGCCCGCTGGGTGGAAGAGATCGGAGCCATTTTGATGCAGTGGGATCATCACCGTCGGAAGACAAATATCAAGGATGAGTCGATGCCAGGCCAGAGGATTTCCAATGAAAATGATATTTCACCCACACAAAATTTTCGTGATTCTGAGGCGTCCGGTAATTCTTAGTTACTTCAGTGTTTTATCACCACACAAGTTAAAGAATCTGAATTTCGCACGCTTTCCAAGAGATATTTCATCTTTCAAGTAAGACCCCGAATCTGAAGGGATGTGAGGTACACGGCGCATCCGAGAAAGGGTCTAGTTGTTGCGCGCGCTTCAACTACGGCTCCTTGGACAAACAACCTCAATTCAGGAACAATCGAGAGAATTCTGAAAGTGTCCGTGCGCATTTACAGGGAGGTGTACACCATTCAACATTGCGTTAACGGACTCTTCAGGGTTAAATTTATAAACATGTAACCTTTAAAGTTGAGAAACGCTAATCAATCACTTTTCTTAGAAAGAGAAAAGCAGTGATTCCAAATCTGCTCTTACTTTAGTACATAATCGCCCTTAAAAGGATATACAGCCGTTGAAATAGTGCCAATGTAGCGAAAAAGTACCTTTCGGCGGTACTCGTGCGAAAATCCTCAACGTAGCCGTTTTTTTAATACTGGACGTTTGGAGCAGTTCTAGTAAGCATTTGATAGAGCAAATCTTCTAGTTTATGATGGCGTATTTACTTTTCGGATTGGATGAGTTTGAACGGAGTTATGGCTTTAGGAAGTAAAAAAACTCGCACTCATCACAAATTTTCCTCGTTAATTTTGCAAAAATCCTCAACGTGGGCATTTTTCGAATACTGGACGTATAGAGCTGCTTTAGCAATGGTTTGGCAGAGAACATCTTCTAGTTTTGTATGACGTATCAACTTTTCGAAGATGACGAAACTGAAACAAGTTGTTGCTTCGGAAAGTGTAAAAACTCGCGCTAATCTTGAAT